TGAAGTAAACCTGCTAGGGGGCAGGTTAGCTTCACGGAGTGTGTCGTCATAGTGACTCACTCAGAATTAATCTAAACTCGCTTTGTGAAACCGAAAACCCAGAGTTTTCGTTAACTCAGGGTATACTTACTCAGAGTTTGCACTAAACCGGCTTCCTGAAACAGGGCCCTGGACACCCAAACCTCAAGGCTCATATAATTGGCATTAATTATGGAGCTCCTCCTGGTTCTGTGATGGGACCAAATGTATTTGCATTATGCATTCTTCCCTTAGGCAGTATTATTAGAAGGCATAGAATACATTTGCATTGCTATGTTGGGGTGATACTCAACTTTATCTGTCTATCTGTCAACAAAAACAGACAAACACACCAATTAATTAAACTGAAGAAATGTAAAGGTATAAGGACCTGGATCACCTCCAATTTACTGCTTCTAAATTAAGATAAAACTGTGGTTATTGTATGTGGGCCTAAAAATCATAGGAACATGTTTTCAAGTTTTTCATTCAGTGGGAATGAAACACATATTGTGATGACTCTATGGGTCTTCATATTTTAATGTAAAGCAGCTTGAGTTCACTATTGTTGTGATCTGGCACTATGTAAATAAAACAGAATTGAAATTAAATTGAATATTGACATTCAAATTATTACAATATGTTCAAAATAAAAGACAGTCTTGATGAACTGACCTTAGAGTCTCCAGCCTACAGTTTGCACTCTCTAGGCCAGTAAACAGCTGCTTCAAAGCTGAATCAGGGAGTTTGGCTCCACTCAGGTCCAGCCCTGTTAGATGGGAGGGACTGGACTTCAGAGCTGATGCGACAATTTCACAGTGACTTTCTGAGAGTTCACAGCTAGAAAGCCTGTGATGGAAAATATATCACCACACATGTTATAAAGTGGACAAATGAGTTTTCCTCCATTTGATGAGAAACACTTGAAAAATTTCGAGCTTCATCTACATAAGTGGAACATTTAAAGTCTGTTATCCAAACAGTATAGAAATTAAACTAAAATTAAACTAACCGAACATCATCAGATTCAATATTAGCACAATTTAAAATTGCTGTAACTGAACCATTACTTAAAATCAGTTACTTATTCCGCTTGTGGTAGCTAACTATAATTTGAATTTGAAAGACAGAGATCCTCTCTACTTTTAAGACTAGCCTTTAAAATGTACTTTTTGTATTGCAAGGGCTGGATGAGGTGGCCCTGAACCATCACTTTGTTATTCTTCTATCATCTCATGCTGGGAATTTTCCATAATGAACTCTTTTGCAAGCGCCTGGGTATGAGATAGGCCACCATGAACTACTCAAAGATGCAAGTAGGTCAGACAATGTAAGACTGACAGTGGCAATGTGGCTATTCTAGCAGACAGGAAATCAGACAGAATGACCATGAGAAGCTAGAAAAGTACTGTCAAAAGATCTTGTCAATTTCTGCAGGATGAGTCTTTCTCTCATGTAATCGGTACTTTAGAACATAGATTTGAGCACAAATTATTTTTTGATGATAACTATATCTGGTCTTACCGTGCCTTTCTGCAGTTTCTTATAGCTGGAATAAGTCTTCGTTGTCCCTCCTTTGATGTATTATACTTATTCAGGTCCAGGTCATCCAGAACCTCCTCTGACATCTGGAGCATGTAGGCCAGAGCTGAGCAATGGATGTCAGATAGTTCCTTCTCTGATCTGTTTTCTGATTTCAGGAACTCTTGGATCTCCTGATGTACTGAGAAGTCATTCATCTCCATCAAACAATGAAAGATGTTGATACTTCTATCAGGAGAGATTTTATCACTCTTCATCTTCTTCAGATTATTGATGACTCTCTGGATAATTTCTGGACTGTACTCCATCTTATTGAGCAGACCTCCTAAGAGTCTCTGGTTGTAGTCTAGTGACAGGCCATGAAGAAAGCGGACAAATAGATCCAGTTGGCCATTCTTACTTTGGAGAGATTTCTGCATGACAGTGGAAAGAAAGTCCTCTTGAAAATAGATGGGCATACCATCATCAAAATCATCAGTAAATAAATCTGGAAAATCATTCCTCAGAAACTTCTCCAGCACCTCTTCCTTCCTGTTGCTGTAACAGTGGAACATGTAGACAGCCGCCAGAAACTCCTGAATGCTCAGATGAACAAAGCAGTAGACTGGTTTCTTGAAGATCGCACACTCTCTTTTTAAGATCTCTGTACAAATGCCTGAGTACACTGAGGCCTCTGTGACATTCAGACCACACTGCTCCAGGTCTTCTTGGTAAAATAGGATGTTTCCTTTCTCCAGATGTTCAAAGGCCAGCCGCCCCAGCTTCAGGAGAACATCCCTGTCAGCCTGCATCAGCTCCCGTGGACTCGTCTCATGTCCCTCGTGGTATTTGTGCTTCTTTCTCTTTGTCTGAACGAGCAGGAAGTGTGAGTACATGTCAGTCAGGGTCTTGGGCAGCTCTCCTCTCTGCTCTGTAGTCAACATGTGCTCCAGAACCGTAGCAGTGATCCAGCAGAACACAGGGATTCTACACATGATGTGGAGGCTCCTGGATGTCTTCATGTGGGAGATGATTCTGCTGGACAGCTCTTCATCACTGAATCTGCTCGTGAAGTACTCCTCCTTCTGGGCGTCAGTGAAACCTCGTACTTCTGTTACCCTGTCAACACATATAGTAGGGATCTGACTGGATGCTGCAGGTCGGGAAGTTATCCAGACGAGAGCCAAGGGAAGCAGATTCCCCTCGATGAGGTTTGTCAGCAGCTCGCTGACTGATGACTTCTGTGTGACATTAGACACAAGCTTCCTGTTGGTGAAATCCAATGAAAGTCTGGTTTCATCCAGGCCGTCAAATATGAACAAAAGTTTACAGACAGCGAGCTTCTCTGCTGTGACCTTCTGTAATGCTGGATGGAAAATATGGAGCAGCTCTAGAAGACTGTACTGCTCATCTGTGATCACGTTCAGCTCCCTGAATGAAAGCAGAATCACCACACTGATGTCTTGGTTCTCCAAACCTTCTCCCCAGTCCAGAGTGAACTTCTGTACTGAGAAGGTTTTTCCAATGCCGGCAATGCCATTTGTTAGAACAACTCTAATGGGTCTCTGTTGGTCAGCCAAAGCTTTAAAGATGTCCTGGCACCTGATTGGAGTGTCATTGATGGTCTTGGAAGCTGTCTCCAGCTGCCTCACCTCATGTTGGGTATGAACTTCTTCACTCTGTCCCTCTGTGATGTAAAGTTCAGTGTAGATCCTGTTGAGCAGAGTCCCACTTCCTGTTTCATCACTTCCTTCAGTCACATGTTCACATCTCCTCCTTAGACTGATTTTATGTTCATCTAATACCTCCTGCAGACCAACATCTGCTAAAAGAAAGAAAAACAATGATGCTAAATAGATAGAAAACTCTTTAATACCCATCACAATAAGAAGTCCAGGCTTTAGATGTTCAGTCGTACTTTGAGCACAACCTCTCTGACTGGCGGTCTGCAGTCTGGACCTGCATCCAAACTGTGGACACAAGGAGTCTCTCCCTTGTCTGCAGAACCCGTGTCTACAATTGGTAGAGACTGGATCCTTCAGGATGTCCTGACACAAAGCACAGTAGGACAGCTGCTCCTCTACACTAACATGACTCTTCTCTCTGTGGACATGAAGGAAAAAATATTCTGACCAGAAAAATACACAGTAAAGTCAGAAATATAAATATAAATATAATTAAAATATAAATATAATTATATAAATATAATTACTCAGTTCAGCAGAAACAGTCTCTTACTTTTTGTCTAAGGTTGCGGGTTCATCACTGAAGTCTGGATTATGCTCTTTGGACCAATCACTCTTCGCAGACACACAGCTAGATTCTGCAGATGATGTGATGTGTATGTGGTGTTGATCTCTGGAAACACAAACAAAGCATGAACAAACTAACCCCCCCCCCCCAAAACCCTTGTCATTCATGGACATAAAATGTTTTTTGTGGGGTTTTTTTTTCATGGCAGCTTTTGAGACAGTTTTGGGTTTTGCCATGAAACTAGGCTGAGCAGTCAGGCCACTGTGATTAAGAGAGGATTTAAGAAGTCCTCACTTGTAACTTCCTGATTGCATCACATTCAAAAGCACAGACTATTGACTCAAACATGGGCTGCGGGTAGTCCAACTTTTCCAAAATGGCACATTATTACATCCCATTGCCATAAGGGTTGCTTAGTCTCCCAGCACAGTCTCAAGTGTATGAAGGTCCAGCAGACAGGCAATTAATCTAGGAGTAAGTTAAACAGAGCCGTAGAATGTCCTTACCAAACAATTGTCTCTAACCAAAAAATTAGAAACAGACTTTATGAGGGTGACCTGACGGCCTGACATCCTCTAGTGGGATCTGTGCTTCTTGCCCAGCACCATGAATGATGCTGGTGCAATGGCTGCTGGGTTCCTCCTGGTCTACAACAATGTCCAACCGCATGTGTCCAGGGTATGCAGCTATTACTGGAGGAACTGGCTGACCCCCACGGTTGCCTGACCTGAATCTAATAAAATATCTCCTGGACATTGTCAGGGTTCCTGGGTCGGTGACCCAGTGTTTTCAGTTTTGTTCATGTTCAGTTTATTTTGCCACTTCCATGTGCTCACTTCCTGCTTTTCCTGTGTCAGCTCGTCTAGTGTCATTAGCCAGATTATGTTCAGCTGTGTACTCACCGGTCTCTCATTATCATCCTCATCAGTCTGTGTATTTAAGCCCTCTGTTTCTACTCGTTCACTGTCGTGTCATTGATGTTATCCTTCCCGTGTGTTCCCTCAGTTCAGTCCGCCATTCAGTTGTCCAGCCAGTCAGTGTCGTTCACCCACTCCTTATAACAAACCTCACCTACCTGCCAGTCCTGCGTTTGGGTTCTTTCTTCCTCGCCTCCACACAACGCCTGACAGAATGACACGACCCGTGCCACGAAGACACAATTGGAACCCAGCGGACTCGGACCTCTACGAGCGGCATGAGGTAGCGCTCTCCTTGTGGGCGGAAAAGCTCAAGGAGAGACAGCGGCTCGTCGTGGAGCGAGAGCACGTCTTCGAGGGTACTCGCTTGGCTCTGGGCGGGCCTTGGAGACACCGCGTTCACCCACCTGCTACCTCCCATGCACCGGAGCATCTGCCGCGGAGTGTGGGCGTTTCATGCCGTGTTTCGGCCGCTCCCTCTCTCGCCACTTCGCTCCTCGCACACCCGCCGCCTCATTCGCCGGACCTCCACCATCGCCACGGCACAGCGGCTACGCCTCCCACCTCGGCTCAACGGAGGCTACCGCGCCAGAGGCTCTGCTGTTTACCCCGGCCGCTTCCTCTTCCCGGAGAAAGCGGCGCACACGCCGCCATAAAACGGACTACTTTCAGCCACTCCCGATGGTGAGCTCCAGTGACTGTTTTTCGCACTCGCCATCTGATTATTCACTTAAAACGCACAATACTCACTTCTGATTCATGGGGAGTCTCCCTCCTAGACGAGGACGTGGACTGGGAAGAGTGTTTCTGCTCTGCTCCAAAGACTGTAAATAGTGGTGGCAGAAAAACCAGAACAATCCCCAATAAACCTGCCAGTAACACACACACACACACCGTCACTATTTCCACACCCGTTACTCAGCCATTTCCCACCAGCACGGCGGCCCAGATTCGGCCTTCCCCTTCAGCCGTTTCACCTCCTCTGATGGCTAGGGCCCAGTCTACACCCACACCAGTGCCAGCTCCCAGGAGGAGGGCAGCTGC